TATCCCAGTGGTGTAAAACGCACCTACATTTACACCCACCTTCCATCCAACTTTCGTTACAACACAATGCTGGCAGGGTTGTGCAACCTATGTGATGAGTTTGGTTACTCAAATTTTGAGAAGTTTATGTCTTTCCTTACTTGTGTAGAAAGAGCAACGACTGTTTCTGTCAATGATTTTAAGGGCAAAGTTTTACAGTACCAGTGCTTTATGAAGACCCAATTTGCCCATCAAGTGCAGAGGCATTCCCCATGCTTAGAACTCTGCATGAACAATGCATTTGCCTCTTGTTCGCAGCCACATGACAGGTTTTGCCTCGATGCATGTGTGCTCTACAATGTTTGCAAGCAACTACGCACACTGCTGTCCAGTGTCCCGAGAGCCAGTGAACGAGAAAACCTGACAAAGGAACTTGATGAACTCATGAAGGTTCATACCCAATATGTGGCACATCTACTACACACACAACACCGATGCGATTACTATAAGTACATTCTGGATAACTTGCAACCAGGCGAGGCTGTGGTAATCGTGGATTACAAAATGAAATTGGAGTTGGGTGTCAGAACAAGAGAAATCCAGAGAGACTGGTATGGGAAGCGTGGAATTTCCCTACATGGCTTCCTTGCCATTGCCCAAGTGAGTGAAACAGAGAGAAGAAGAGGTAATTGACCTCTGGAGCGACGACACCAAACAGGATGCTTGGTTCAGCCAGAGTGCTATGGATGTTGGCTTCCGCTGGATGGAAAAGGAGTTCCCTGGCTTTCGAGTGTACTTATTTTCTGGTAAGCAGTCAACTTAGTTATAATAATACTGTTAGAAATCGAAAACAACTGTAGTGTAAAAAGGCTTAGTTTGTATTTCTTTGAACATTACATGGAAAAAGCCTCAATATAAATTGTTAAACATATTACTGATTAATTATTCCTTATTATAGTAATTTTGAGCCATAGTTTCAAGGATTCACACAATTTGGAATAGAATATCTCTAGGGATTATCAGACAAAATCTCCTTTCTAGTATCCATATGTTTTTGTATTGTTCTATTTGGGCAAACTTGTGACGTATCAAATTATCTTGCAGTTTAGTTGTCATTTCATTTTGTCATGATTGCTACTGACATTGTGGGGTGAAATGCTATCATGTTTTTTTTCTTTTAGGCTTATTAAAAAGGGTTAACCAAAATTCAGTGGCTAAAAGCTCCTTAGGAATTATTTGCCCTATGGTAAATTTACATGTAATTTTTTTAAAAGGGCATTAGATTAATGAAGTATTGTATGCCTGTTTCCATTATTTTAAGCTATCAACAGCTATGATTTTTCAATGTTTATTGTACAGAATATCATCTTTCAGTGTACTTTTCAACATTTTTTGCAGTCAAGTACTCTTATTCACATACAGTGTCCACTCGTGTGTCTCAAAATTCGGGAAATTGCAAAGCAAACATTTTAAAATTATAAAGGGCGAGTACCTTATATAACATCTTAAAATCTTTTGTTGTTTCAGACAATGGTCCACACTACCACAATACTGGATTTATCCTCTATTTGGTAGAAGTCAGCAAAGCATTCCAGNTCAAATCATCTTGCAGTTTAGTTGTCATTTCATTCTGTCATGATTGCTACTGACATTGTGGGGTGAAATGCTATCATGTTTTTTTTTTTCTTTTAGACTTATTGAAAAGGGTTAACCAAAATTCAGTGGCTAAAAGTTCCTTAGAAATTATTTGTCCTATGGTAAATTTACATGGAATTTTTTTAAAAGGGCATTAGATTAATGAAGTACTGTATGCCTGTTTCCATTATTTTAAGGTATCAACAGCCATGATTTCCCAATGTTTATTGTACAGAATATCATCTTTCAGTGTACTTTTCAACATTTTTTGCAGTCAAGTACTCTTATTCACAGACAGTGTCCACTCGTGTGTCTCAAAATTCGGGAAATTGCAAAGCAAACATTTTAAAAGTATAAAGGGCGAGTACCTTATATAACATGGTAAAAATCTTTTGTTGTTTCAGACAATGGTCCACACTACCACAATACTGGATTTATCCTCTATTTGGCAGAAGTCAGCAAAGCATTCCAGTTGACCCTTGTTGAATACAACAACTTTGAGGCCGGTGAGGGGAAATCAAAGCTGGATACCCACTTTGCCCACATCAGTCATAAGATTGTTAGATGGGTTAGAGTGGGTAACAACTTGGAAACAGGAAGTCAGTTGGGAGAACTGATTGGGGTATGTATATTTGTTTGATTTAAACTCTTCATAGTACAGNCAGTCTGGACAATTCGCTCAGCAAACCCGTTCGATTGGGGTACATGGGGAGCTAGTAACGTGCTCCATTCCATAGACGTTCAGAAAGTGCTTGAATTCTACTGAGCTGAATTGCGGCCCGTTGTCGGTCATCAGCTGCGTAGGGATGCCGTGTTCAGCAAAGATGCTCTTAAGGTGGTTGATAACTGCAGATGACGTGGTGCTTGTTAGCCTCCTGATGACGGGGAATCTGCTGTATTGATCTGTTAGTAGGAGGTATTGCTGGCCTTTGAATTCGAACAAGTGAGAACTTAGTCTTTCCCATGCTCGGTGTGGCGGTTCTGGCTTATAACTTGGTAAAATTCTTTTGTTGTTTCAGACAATGGTCCACATTACCACAATACTGGATTTATCCTCTATTTGGCAGAAGTCAGCAAAGCATTCCAGTTGACCCTTGTCGAATACGACAACTTTGAGGCCGGTGAGGGGAAATCAAAGCTGGATACCCACTTTGCCCACATCAGTCATAAGATTGTTAGATGGGTTAGAGTGGGTAACAACTTGGAAACAGGAAGTCAGTTGGGAGAACTGATTGGGGTATGTATATTTGTTTGATTTAAACTCTTCATAGTACAGCTCTTTATAAGCAGCTATCATACTGGCTAATGTTTGAAATAAGCCCATCCTCCCCTTCTCTCTATCTCAAGTAAGCACCCAAATAAGCAGCCTTGTATATTGCACTGTACAAGGAGTACATGCATTATGTTGTTGTTTATGTGGAATTGTTTTCTTTAGAAAGCAGAACATGATTAAATATCTGACCATGACTTGGCAGAAGTAAAAAGTGTTCACTCCTTCTCCCCTCATTGATATTCTGTCGGGTATAAAATAACATTGCATTGGTAAGCTAGAGTGCTTAGTGCTGTATAGAAAACCATCAAGAATGGCCCATTTGAAGCCGAAAAGACTGGTAAAGGTGATATCCCCAAAATGTGTGACTGTTTTTATACAGCGTTATGCCCTCTAACTTTCAGAATTTTAAAAGCATGGTTTTGTTGAAGTACTAAAGAGCACACAAGATTTTTGTACTTCCTTTGTACCTCATGGCTAGTGCACTCGCTTGACTCCGGATTGACCGGTTCAGGCTCGAGCCCTGGCAAGGGACATTGCGTAGTGTTCTTGTGCAAGACACTTGACTCTCACAGTGCCTCTCTCCACTCAGGTGTACAAAATAATTACTGGCGAATTTAATATTAGGGGTAACTCTGCGATGGACTAGCATCCTATCCAGGGAGGGGGTAGAAATACTCATAGTTGCTTCATGCAACAAAAACCGGAGATAAGCATTGGTTTGATAGACCACCTGGCTTGTATTCGGACTTTTAATAATATTAACGTTTTAAAGTAACTGTGTGCTAATAAGGCAATTCCTGTGTGATCAATTTTGCAGTCAATGAAGAATGTCACCTGTAGAAAACTTCTCAATGACAGAAGCAAGGCACCAGAGAAGCTAGGAACGCTCAAAGATATCTCGCTCTTTGGGAGCTACGAATTTTCAACTTCTGGCCCAAACACTGGAGGAGTTGTAGCCCGTTCACTGGCAGGCATTGGAAACGAATCTAAAAAAAGCGAACAACAGCTAAAAAGTCTAGCCAACCGTAGAAGTGCTATCGCAGGTGCAACAGGTGCTGTGACGTCTGAAGAATTCTTAATCTTCAGGGAACATCTGGTACATGTATGAGTTGGAATGGGAGTCAGGAGGTATACAGTGTCCGATTCGTCCAACATGAGATGGAGCATCAACGGAGCTCAGATTCTTCTGAGATGGTTGCCCCTGACCAGCTTAAGGAGAACGTCCTAAAACCAGGCTTTGCACTAAAAAGTGGTGGAAAACAGTGTTTTCGCTTCAGCAGAAGGAGGTTATGATGGAATTTTATAACCGGCAGGCGAACTATGGGATGAGGGCAGACCCTGTGGAGTGCATTTCAGAGAGAGGCCTGGAGCCGCTCAAGGAAGCGCAGATTAAGAGCTGGTGGAGCACATACCACCAAAAGAGGAAACGAGAAATGGAGAGTATGGCTGCAGACATCCAAAACCTTCACAGAGCACCACCAACTGGAAATGCCAATCTATCAGCTCCTCCTTCAGCACCCAGACAGACATACCCCTCTGGTTCTGCAAACCCTGCAACAGCTTCATCTTCATATCCAGCATCAGCATCTACCCCAGTACCAACAGCAGCAGTACCCACTGCACCTGTACCTGCACCTGTATCTGTACCTGCACCATCATCCGTGCCTGCACCTCCATCTGTATCTACAACTACAACCGTACCTGCACCTGCCCCCACAACCTCATCACCTGTAGGACCCAACTCTTCATCAGCACCTGTCCCAACACCTTTAATGACACCTGTGACTGGAACTAATGTTGGATGTGGCATCAATGAGTCGTTGTTTCCGGGAAATGTCAGTCAGTCAACCATTGACGGCAGAAATGGTGGCAATGCATGCACTTTCATTGCTCTTTTCTTTGGCTACATTTACTGCCACTCCAGTTTACCTACACCCCCTGTTGGACAACCCCTCACACGACAATGGGAGGGAGCAGTAATAGAAGCAATCAGGACTGGAAATGATATCCACGACGAGTTGTTTGGAGGTGAGGGGATTAATGTTGCTGTGGATGATGCCATTGATGCAGCTGGTGATCATTGCCACGTTTGTGGAATTTTGCATGAGTACAATGTGTTTGGTGTGAATCCACTGGATCAGTTTGCTGCGGTTATAGACTTGATTCTTCAGCAGAAACAGTCATGCCATTTGTTAACAGCTAATGAAAAGACAATGTTGATCGTTGTGGACGGTAGTGGGAGTATAATTTTTATTGACTCTCATATTCATGGTCGTAATGGAGCATTGGTTGCTCGAATTGACGCTTATAAGGGCAATCAGGCAAAATCGTTTTCAGCTTGGGTTGATCAAACGCTAAGCAGAAATTATGGCGTGGGTCTCTCTATTTGCTCTCTGACCACAGTTAGCTACTTATGAGCAAAAGAAAATCTGGATACTATTGTAGCCAGACCCCATAAAAATGTTTGTTTTCACAATAATTCATGCAAACAAGTATGGATACCTGTTGTATCCCCGACATAAAATTGAACTGAAACATACCCATACAGGGGTTAAATTTTGTTACAGTTATATTTCGCGTTTTCACCACGGGAAAATGTAAATCTGTATGTAAAAGTACTTTACAGAGTATAGCATATTTTTTTTGTAGGAAATCTTTGTAAACTGTTGTAAAATACTATTGTACCACTGAGGCTAGTGACTAATGGTAGAAATTGTACACCTGTCACAGGTGTAAGAGCTGCAAAAATTGCTACCAAGAGAATTGAATCATCTCTGTGTTGCTTCCTAGGGTAGTTTCCCATTGAGTCAAAAAGGTCTTAGGTTTTTGTCATTGTTGTAACAGTTAAATGGCCATGGAAATGAAAAAATATATGGCATTGTAAAAGCTCTCTTGTCATTGTTACGTTATGTTTCGTTACTCCAACCCCCTACAATTCAGCTTTACAAAGAACTGTTTTTTTAAATTTTTTTTTTATAATAGAAAACGGTTGCTCTGTGCTGACATAGCTAACACTCGAGTGTCTTTGGGGGAATTCGAGAGTACTTATGTATCCAAACCACTCGGGTTTTCATTGTTTTTTTTTTGGGAAATTCAAACTAGGGGTACGTTTCTTTAAGAAAATGCAAGATTGGATTCTTAAATCCGAAAGAATCCGAAAACGGATTTTGCGTTTCTTCACCAAACAGATCAATCCAAGATCTCTCGGATCATGATGCGTCAAAGGAACCGAAGAATCCACTCTGGGCAAGGATTCTTCGGTTCCTTTGATACATCCTGATCCGGGTGATCTTGGATTCATCTGTTTAGTAGAGAAACGCATAATCCGTTTTCGGATTAAAAATTAAATCTTGGATTTTCTTAAAGAAACGCACCCTAGGAATTTAGTAGTCCAATGGGGAGTGAAATTAGCCTCAGTTGGCATGTTGCGTTCCAAACTGAAATGTGCTATTCAACCATGGAGACCCATCGTTTTATACGAATATTCAAGATTATTCTCAAAATTATACAGATAGGTGGTCCCCAGTTTGTCTTCCAACAGTTGGATATAAAAATCCAAGATAAACTTTGTGGACTTGAATGAAAAAATGAGAAAACGGGAAAAAGGAAGAAATTATATAAAGAAACAACGACACGCAAATTTATTTTTAAACAGACGCAATAGATTACACAAAATAATTTCAAAAATAAAGCTTTTGGACTTCGGGTATGGCAGCGAGAAAAATCACGACAAATAGCAGATCACGTGTCAAGAAACTAGTATAGATTTTGGAAATGGCTGATTGAAAATTGCAGCGGGATTGGGTTTGGCTAATTTTATGCCAGGGGTTTTCACTCCCGCCAACACCCTGGTAGTGCGTAGTCTCCCACGCAGCCGTTTTTCGTGATGTCACGCAAGCGTTGCGTGACATTTAAAAAAATAGGTGCGTAGGAGACCAACACCCTGGGATCCCAATTTTTCCAAAAAAATTCCTTTCCTGGTGGAAAGTCGATAAAGCGCGATTATTTCATTATTCACAGATTTGCGCGAAAGAAAGTTAGGCTGACCTCACTCACGTGCATCTATGTTTACATGAAGCGAAAACTAAAAAACTACAACTCTATATCGCGGATTTGGCAAGCCAAAACAAATCTTATCTGATTGTAACTAAATTCCTCCCTTAGGTTGTCCCGAACAGTGCGAAGTTTCTTGTCATTGCTTGACACTATCTCTCTCTTGATCCGTTCGAAAGACTCTTCACCGACGTCCAGATACTTGGCGATTGTCTGGTGGTCCACATCTTGTCCTGCCGCAAGACAATCAATACCATACACCTCTGCGGTGGCTTGGGCAATCTTCAATTCTTCTGCCA